GGCTGGTTTTATGCCGACCCAGCATGACCTAACCAGGTGGGGGCAGCTTCCCTAAGCCACGCTGCCCCACTTCCCACTTCAGACCAACCCTAACCCTAAGTGGTTTGTCCTTACCACTTAGGTTAGGGTTAAGGTGGATAAGTCAACTCTCACCAGCAAGTAGAATCCGCTCTGATACCAATGTTATGATCCTGGCCAATTTTGAAGTACACATTCATCAGATAGTATAATGTCGTCCAATTGCAGAAAGAAATGAATGAACTTGAGAGGAGAGAGAGGGTAAGAAGAAGAAGAAGAAGAAAGAAAGGAGAAGAAGATGATGTACACCAGCATAGACAAATGACAAAGCTCTTCTTCGCCAAACACTCTCCTCCTCCCTTACTCCTTTCTTATTCATACAAGAAATAATAGTACAATGGTGAATGGCTGATCCAAAATCAATGTCCGAGTTCCTCTTGTACTGCAGGTATCACTTGAGGTCCACCTTAGCCATGGCCGCCTCCCTCACTCTTCACTCTCATAGGCTAAGGTTATGGCAGACTACTGGGCCTATCCCTGATGCCCAAAGGACAACCCAAAGCAGCGATGGCTGCTCTAGCTCAGGCCGCCTTGCCTGCCTCTGCCTCGAAGCTTCTTGGTGTAACTCTACCCCAACTGGGGTCTTCGTGCTGCAGCGCCCACCAAGGTGATGAAGATGGCTGCCACCATAGCCAAGTAAGTACCTCTGGCACTTCCCCTTCCTCCTGTCCTTCTTCCTCCTCCGTGTCCTTGCTCCTTCCCCAACAGCGTTGCTCTTGCTAGCACTGCTGCAGCCAGCGCTCCAACCAGTGTGTAGCCAAACTTGCACATCGACAATGAGGCTGGGCTCTTCGCTCGGCCTGAGATATAGCGGCCTGCTTGCCTCTTGGGCGGTGACTTCCAGGCCGCTCGGCCTTCCCAGCAACCGGTACCTCCTCCCTTCCGGAGGGAAACGTCATTGCAAACTCTGATATTGCCCGTACAAGCCCTAGACTCAGACTGGTTAGACTGGTACCCACCTAGACCTAGCCTACAACTACTGGCCCTCTTAATATGCCACTTTTGTCTTCTTCTGCTCGGCCTCCAGTACCCGCACATCTACGTCTTCAGGGTGCAGTACCGACCTACCTGTGAGTGTTTTTCCCCCGCTGCAATCCTCAATGTCACGGCCACAGGTAAGTACCGGCCCTAAGGGCCCAACGAACGAACAAGTGCCCTTGCGGGTCACACACACACTCAAGCCAACCAGCACACAGACAGACATGCAGTCCAGCAAGCGTGCACACACACAGACATGCAAAACTTCGTAGCACGCGGAAAACTCAGTAAGGCATTTAGTCCTTGAGCAAAACTCAGAAATCAATTGTGCGTCTCGGTCCGTGTTTGGTCGGGTCATCACAACCATCTAGAACAATCTTCGTGACCTCGACACCGTCCCCGACTACTCCCTCGACAACGACCTCTTGTGCATTAACACTAAAGTTGTGCATTAACACTAAAGGCACTTGCCGACTCTGTATCCCTGACGCATGTTGTCTTCATACCCAACTCTTGGTCGAACACCACGACGCCAAGACCACAGGACACCTTGGCTTCCAGACGACATTCGACACCGTCTCTCGCTACCTCTATTGGCCCTCACTCCTCGCCGACGTCAAAGCATACATCCGATCATGCCCCACTTGTCAAGCAGTCAACCCCTCAAACCAGGCCCAGCCTAGCAAGATCCAGTCATAGGTGGCAGTCCATCTCTATGGATTTCGTAAGCGGTCTCCCCAAGACCGACCGGGACTATGACTGCATCTACGTCATTGTCTGCTGCTTGACCAAGGGGCCCCATTTCATCCCTTGCACCACTTCTCACAATGCCAAAGACGTCGCCACACTCTTCTTTGATTATGTCACACGCCATCACAGTCTCCCCAAAAACATTATCAGTGACCATGATCCTTGCTTCCTTTCCCAATTTTGGAAAAAACGTGTTCAATGCCTACGACACCACTGTCAAGTACAACATTGCATTCCATCCCCAGACAGATGGCCATACCGAAAAGATGAACGATACTCGCCAAAGGATTCTGAAGAAGTATTGTCATTCACACCAGCACGACTGGGATCAGTTGCTCACTGCCGCTGAGATTGCCTACAACAATGCTGTCTGCCCTACCACTGGCATGGCCCCATACTACCTTGACCTTGCCTACCATCCTACTTGCCCTCAGACTTCTTGCTCCCCTTGCAGCTCAACCAATCCACTCCCTGTCCTTCTCTTAATGAATGGGTTGCAACAATGAACGACCTCCTCGGAGAAGCCACAGACACCCTTGAAAGAACCCAACAACAACAAGTCAACAAGACCAACAAGCAAATACGAGATATCACATTCGAAGTAGGGGACAAAGTCTGGCTCTCCGAAAAACGCTTTGAACCCGAACATGGCTTGTCCAAGAAACTCTCATACAAGTGGCTCGGTCCATTCCTCGTCATTGAACAAACATCCCCTATAAATTACAAACTTCGACTACCCCCTGACATGAGCCGTGTTCACCCTGTCTTCCATGTCGAGTACTTGAAAGAATACCATGTATCACCTCCAGAATTTGCCAACCGCCTGTATTCTAGACCCCCACCAATCATGCTACCTACCGGGCCAGAATTCGTGGTAGAATCTATCATACGACTAAGAACAACTCAAGTATCCAATCACCCGGAACCAATCACTGTATAGAAAATCAAATGGACCAGATACCCAGATGAAGAATCTACATGGGAACCCCTCGATTATATCAAGAACGCCATGAAACTTGTCCGTGCCTATGATCGTGCTCACCCTGTATCCTAGCTATATACTATGTATAACACCCATATACCCTGCATAAACCCTGCCTCATTGCTCTACACACACCCGCTTCACCCAGCAACCCCCATGTCCAGCGACCTCTCTCTGTCTGATCCGCTCTGCCTCCGTCTCGTTCCCCAATCTGTCCTCTGCCACATCCTCTGTCTCTCTTGTCCAAGCCTTACCTGTGGCTCCTGCGCATCGCCGGCGATAAATGATCTAATGGCAAGCGCATGAGGATGATGGCCTGCTGCAGCACAGTTCAAGGAGATTAAGCAGCTGGTTGGCCACCATGCTGTCCCATTGGCCGGCACCTGGACTCGCAGACTTCTGGAGCAGCACTCTTGACATGGACATCAGGATCAGTCTGCGACCTGCTATCCGGATCAGACTTCATCATCAGGATCGTGTACAGGACGCACCCTGGCACTTGGACCTTCATCTATTGGACTGCTACACTACTTCTTTCAAGCTGGAACCCTCGCTACTGCACGTCGCAAGCCTGCTGAAGACTGGTTTATCATCAGCATTTTGTACCTGGACTGACTTCAAGACCTGCTTCAAGACTCTCAGCCAGACCATTTTGCAGAACCTGCGATTTCCCCCCTACCCTAGTCACTGCGAGACCCTTAGAAACCCCAACCCCCGAACACTGCAAAATAATTTTCCTTTCTTTATTTTTGCTCACAGAACCCTTTTGCCTAATAGTTCATCATTACGACAACCCTGTTCCACCCTCAGATCATAACTCAGGAGGACAACCCTGTTCCCCCACAGTTCCTAACCCTGTAGTTCATTAGTAGGCAAACTCTGTTCCCTCTCAGTAGTCCATCAGTACGCCTAACCTGTAGCTCATCAGTAGGAAAACCCTGTTTCCCCCAGCCCATGTTACCCACATTATACTCCTCTCCCTTTTTCTTCCTGCTTCCCAGTGATCGGCCCCTCCCGTCCTTCACAGGATTCAGCATTACTTCCATGACTTTTGGCAGCCGGGACGTTGCCTTCTAGAGGGAGGGGATAGTGTTACGGACTCCACCAGGGCTTGATCCCTGGTCTGCGGGTTACCACCCGCCAGCTTGCTGTATTGATTCTTTTTTTTTTGTTTTTACAATTTTCTTGTTTTTTTTTTTTTTGCTCTTCTGATTTCAGACAGTTGGCGGCGCCATCTGCATTCTGGCGCTCTTTTTCAAAATCCTTCTTTCGGGACTTTCGGATTCGGACACTTGGTGCCATCCGACATTCTGCCGCCCACTCTCAGACTTTCGATTTTCAGTATTGGGCCTGAGGCATTTTCACTTTTGCCCTCACGACTGTACCTGAGTCCGGTACTTACGTCCGGATTCAAGCCCAGTATGGGCACCAAGTTTTCAGCTTCAGTGCTTGTGTTCAGTGTGACTTTGCTTCAACATTGTGTTCGGGAATTCAAGACTGCGACTTTGCAACTTTGCCACTTTGTGTCTGCGTCCGTCGAGTCGTGTTGAGTCTGCGTTGAGTTGAGTGAGCGTGTGTGTGTGCTCTCACTCACTCTCTCTCTCTCCCAGCCTTGCTGCTCTGCCGCTGCCTCGTCACACACACACACACACACACACACACACACACACACACACACACACACACACACACACANCACACACACACACACACACACACACACACACAGAGAGAGAGAGAGAGAGATTTTCTTGAGTGCTTGTAGTCAAGAGGATCGTGTGGACATGATACTTCATTCATTCATCCATTCATTACCTTGGCGGTTTCTCCGTGCACCTGAGCACGAAATGCTGGGCCTGAACACACGCCCAGCTGGGGGGTTCTTCTTCTTCTTCTTCTGCTTGTGCTTGTGCTTGTGCGTGTGCTTCTTCTTCTTCTTCTTCTCCTTCTTCTCCTTCTCCTTCTTCTTCTCTATTTTTCTCTCCTGGTCCAGTTCTTCTTGAGTTGTGATGTATGGCACCGTCTCAGAGTTGAATCGTGCTTCAAGAATTGCACAGCCATCTGAAATTGACAAGTTTTCATGCAGTAAGGCAAATTGTACTCAGGAAATAAGGGAGAACCTGAGAGAAGAGTTCCGTGTCCCGCGTCTCGTTTTTAACGTTTTGTTCTTCCCCTCGTGTGCAATGTTTGCTACAATCTGTGTGTGCTGCAGCGACCTGTCAAACTTGCAACTTTACGGCCAGATACCTTCGGAGATTGGTTTGCTGAGGAACCTGGAATATCTGTGAGTGCTCTGTTTTTTTTTTTTTTTTTTTTTTTACCACTGTGAGGAACGAGCCCTCAAGGGGCCCTATCAGACATCACATGTTCTGGGCTAAGGCCCCCAGCAAGCCGAGTGCCCGCCTTAAGTGAAGGAGGGCCTGAATATTCGTCAAAGGCCAGAATTTGACACTTTCATATGTGGGTATTCAGGCTCTTGCAGCACGCCAGTTGGATGAATGCACGCGCGAGCCTCACCAAGCTGCATCGTACAGTTGGCCCAGGCCTTGACAGTTGCGCCTGGGCACATACACACCAAGCAGGGCCGATACATTGAGGAGGAGGCCATCAGCCTACACAAAAGCAGTACTGTCGACGCACCTACCCGGGGAGCCCTGCACAGATGCAGCAAACAGCCCAAGTCCAGAGACTCAGGCCATGCCCAACTGTAAATGGGGCCCAGGCCCTCAACTGTAGTCCCGGGCCTGGTCGCAGGGTCCGAGACCCAACCCGAAGCTACTAGAAGCTTCCAGCCAGGCCACATGCAGCATCCAGGAGGCTCCCACTTCCATAAAAGAAGTGAGGCAGCCCAGGCCAGGCATTCTGGCCAGTGCAGGCATTCTGGCCAGTGCAGGCAATGCGGAACTGCTGTTGCGCAATCACTTGATGCTGCGCTATCGCTTGATGGTGCGGTGCTGCCAAGGGCGCTGACGGCGCGCATAGTGGTGAAGTGGGGCGCTGCAGGGCAGCGGGGCGCAGGCAGCCATAGCCGGGCTGCTGGGCCGCCAGGGGGTAATGCGTGCGATCGGGTGGTCTTCAGGGAAGGAGGCGAGTGTGGGGTAATCAAGGTCTGATTGAGGGTGACGAAATACGTACCTGGTGCATGAAGAGAGGTCGGCTATGGTATTGACAGTCGTGTACATTGGTCTTCGAGAGTCGAAGTGAGCCCGTTGCGTGAACCAGCTGTAGGTAGGTAGGCTATGGTATTGACAGTCATGTACATTGGTCTTCGAGTCGAAGTGAGCCTGTTGCGTGAACCAGCTGTAGGTAGGGTAGTCGGGTAGAGTAGGCTGGGCGCTGGGCGCCAGACAGWGRGGAGCGACTTTGGATATTGTGTCGGTGTGGCCTACGGGCTTGAACATTGGCTCATTACTCCATTGTATTGCTCTATATGGATGGTTTCTCGGTGCATTTTGTACTCTCTGCTTGTTTGCGACTACCTGTACCATCTGTGTGATTTTGCCACTTGGTTTTCGGTATATCGTTCCCATTCATATTCCTTGCAATTTGGTATCGGAGCTGGTTCGTGATCGCCGCTTACCTGGTACCGGTGACATTGTTACTTGGTGCGCTGACGATGCTTCATGTGCAGTAAGGATACTTTGGCGTTGGTTAGTATTAGTGGGGCCTCGGTGGAGAGGCCGGCCGCTGGAAGGCTTTGGCGACAGCGTGGGAGCTGTGGCGACAGCGGATGTATGTATGATGATGAGAGTATGCTGACGTGGCATTTTGGCTGAGGTGGCACTGCATTGAGTTGTGGGTGGTACCGAGGCTATTGACCGGTCATGCAAATGCACGTCGGCCCAATTGGTGAGAAATCTGTGGTTGGGGGCAGCTATATCCAGGTACGTTGTTCCCATTCCTTATCTACCCTCTCAATCTCTTCTTACCGTGAGGAAGTGAGTCCAACTTGAGTGTCCTCTCTTTGGTGAGGAGTCGTTTGCGCTGTACCTTGAGAGACGACATTCTTCTCGGTGGCGCATCTGGCAGGAGAGGGCGGTGCCTCTGAAGGGCCCTGGTCGAAGCACGGGTCATGGTCACCATGCCAACCCATGGTAGTAGTATACGCAGGCTTTGCTGCTTTGTCCATTGAGGATTTTTGCTGCGATGATGGAAGGGGTGTGCGGACTGACCAGTCCTAATGGAGACGCTCCCAGACCGTCTATAAATATTTCTGGTTAGGGTCCGATCTGTCCACTGGCTATGATCGTCGTCCTGACTGCGACGTTAAATAATTCTTGAGGACTCTTGGGGGCTGTCCTTAAATTGCCTCTTGATCAGCCAGATCAGTCGGACTTAAGGCTCGTTGCACGCGAGGGTAAACAAAGGGCAGGTTGGTCATAAGCATACACCTTGGGTACAGGGGTGGGCCGTGATTGCACACCTTAGACACTGCAGCTTGATGATGCTCACAGGTACGTTGGATACAGGGGAAGGGGATTCCAGTTGTGAACTCTACTGAACATCACTATCATATCCATTGTGCATACATCCGCTCACTGTAGTTATTTTTATCTTGATTAGTTGGTTGACAGACTGCTAACACCTAACAGACAACCTAGCGTAGGACTGTAATCTACCATAGTTAGTTCTTCTCAAAGCTTCTCTGCAGAACCAATCAGGATAGAAGTAAAGTACATGTGTACAGTCCGTGTAGGTGCTGTTGATGCCATTTGACCGGTAGTCTAGGTAACTCGCCGAACATTGTTTATTTTATTTATTTTTTGAACCGGTCAGACGCATGCTGCGGTAGGTCCCAAAGAGGACATTAGTGCATACAGAGTTTGCCTAGTCCATGAGTGAATTTGAGGGTGGTGAAGATATTCTAATGATAGGAGGCAGACACGACAGGGGACCTGTAGGATACCCGTAGTGTTCCAGGTTCTACTACCAGGAGACGAGAGAAGGCTTAGGGCCGAAGCAAAGGCCCGTAATCTAGAGACTGCGAGAGAGGCAACAGCAGCAGCTGAACGGGCGTTGGCAGCAGCAGCAGCTAGTGCAGTAGCAATGGCTACCTCTTCAGCCATTTCTGCTGCAAACTCTACTGGTCAGAGTTTGGGCATGCCACTCGACACAACCAGTTCGCAGTCCATCTCCAGTACGTTAAGAGCTGGCACTAGTCAGATGGCGGGTTCGCAGTTCAGCTCGCCGCCTCCACGCACCCGGAAGCAGATGGAGCTCCAGCAGGTAGAAAGGATTCGCTTGAGGCTAGAGGAGGAACTTAAACAGGCTGCTAAAAGAGAGAAAGAGATCAGAGACAGGAGTGTCAGAGTAGAGGGTAGGGAGGCAGACAAAGTTGCACTGTAGGGGTTAAGATGACTCGACCCTTTGTAATACTGAAAAAATATTTAAGGCGAGCATCATGTCCATGCACGCATACATGGACAACAAACTGGATACAATCCAGGACATCTTGGACCAGATCCTGAATGCCATACAATCAGGCCTGATTCCGCCAGAAGTTTTGCCATCGTTGCCATTCTCAGCGATGACAGGCCCCTATGCCGCTCAGTTCGGACCATCACCAAGTGGTACATCAGCAACAGCCATGTCACAGATTGTTGCTTCTTCATCTTTTGGTCCAGCAGCCGGAGCTACACCACAACCACCACCTGTCTCACCAGTGGGACAGCAGCAGCCTTGGTACCCGAAGACCCCTCTGAAACCACCTCCAACCTTCTCAGGAGATAAGAAGGACGAGGCACTCGAGAGCGGTTTCAGTGTGGGTCAGGGCGAAGAGGACGCTGGTAGAGGAGGAGGTGATTACTGCTGCATCCTACTTAGAGGGTTCGGCACCTCTCTGGCTAAATGGATTTGTGGCTTCAAAAGGGTTCGGCAGAAACATGGGTGACTGGGCCAAGACCCATACCCTTGAAAGCTTTATGGATTTAGTGGAGGCTCGATGGCACAACCCTAAACAGGCGCAGATTGCCACTGATGGGCTATTGAAACTTTAGTCTTGGAAGTACAGGTCCGTGAGAGAGCTGACCACAACCATAAAGCGGTTGATTGTCGTCCCAGGAGTGGAGTATAATCCACAGGTCTTATTGACCATGTTCTTGAGATGTATTCCCACAGACATCAAGAACCTTTTAGCTATTGAGGCTCGTTTAGAGTATCACACGTTTGAGACATTTAGTAAGAAGGCCCTAGACGTTGGGTGGTGCTCAACCCCCCCCTACGGACGGAAGAAAGAAGAAGGCTCCACAAGAGTGGAAGAAAAAGGGTAGTCGATTGATGATGGTTGATTCTGATGGGAATCAAACTGAGATCGATGATGTTTCTGAACTTGTGGAGAGTGCAGAGTTTGATGGCGAGGAAATTGCTGAGGGTAGCAACCTCGCCGCAGCAGTTAAGACTAAGGCAGGTGGCCGCGACAAGGGCGGTCAGCAGAGGAGTCAAGGGCAAGCCGCCAACCCAAACAAAATAGTTGCTTGGGTCAGGGCCGGTTTGGATCAGGAAGTGTGGCGCGACCGTTGGGAGCGGGGTGCTTGCATAAATTGCGGCGAGTACGAACATACGCAGTTTAAGTGCAAGAACCCGAAGGTCTCACAGAAGATCCCTCCTAAGGGTGGGTATCCTTCTTCTCAGTCTGGGGCCTCTACGAGCTCCAGCTCGGGAAACACATAGGGCCGGTAGAAGTTGTAGTTGCTTCTACTCTCGTTGAAGCGGGTGATGTACCCTCCCCGTTTCAAGAGTTGGCCGAAGCTATTGACTCCTTAGTCACACCGCAGACGCATCCGGACTCAACTATACTCTGTACGTTGGATGTGTCTGAAGCGTTAGAGGACATTCAAGGTGAGTGGTCGGCAAGGGACCCTCGTGAGCCCTGGGTGGCACTAAGTAGAGGTCCTAGAGGGGAGCATTTCGTTGTGGAAGTTGGTGTGGGTGGTCGCAAGTGCGGCGCCTTCGTAGACATTGGCTCCACACAAAATTTCATAAGTCGCGACTGCATTGAGAGACTGCGCCTAAAGGACCGGGTGCAGCGCCTGAGTAGACCGGTAGCATCTACTCTGGCCAACAAAGAGCGCATGTTGGTAGAGGACTATGTTAAAGACATGGTCTGCACTTTCTCCTACCCAGGAGGAGTGATAAGTCATAAGATAGCATTCCTGGTGAGCGATGATTTGCCTTTCGACATGTTGTTCGACATTTACTACCTCGAGGTGACAAAGCCCCAGTCTAACTGGGACAAGAAAGTGTTGAAGCACGAATTGCCTAATGGGAGGACCGTTAGACTAGCTA